GCACCATATTTGAATTCCGTCACTCGGCCATTTCCAAAGTACTCGCTGCCTTTGATCGGCTCTCCGCCCAAGTCAATTACCTGGTACAGGACAGACAGAACATTCCTTCCTATTTACAAAACAAAAGTAAAATGCATGGCCCTATACATTGTTTTAAACAAAAAGCACTACTTGAGCTAAATACATTATTTGGCTTACTTGCAAAATTGTCTTTAAATCTATTTTCTTAATTTTATCTCAGCCTACTTGTGAAATTTTTTTCCATCTCCATCCTAAATATCTTTACCCTGACTGATCATTACTGCATAATCAAGGCTTGGGCCATTTCAACTTTTTATTTAGTGTAGTCACCAATGCCTCTGCTTCTAGCACATGGGCAATGTCATTTCATATACAGTTAAAGCACGTTTCGTTATTTGCCCTAGACCTTGCAGGCAACATGCTGATTTTATAAAACTTGTCTAGCAACTTTAGCATCCGCTGACTGAAGCCAACAATTACCTGTTTCTTTAGGTCTTGTTAGGATTTGTTATTCAAATGTAAAACACAAATTCAGAATGTCAGGTAACACTGGTTATGCCAGTGGAAAACAAAGTTTCCGACCATGGTCACTATTTTTATCTTCTGTTGCAATTTTTTATGTAGAATTTAAATTTCAGGGAGAGAAATCATCTCTTTTTTAAAACAAGAGAATTTTTACACTAACTTCCATGCAGTAAGTTTCATCCTAAGTGAAAACTCCAGGTTACCTAGTTCCAGAAGATCCAAAACAACTGAGGTGTTTTGCATGTCAATGAGACTTGTGGGCAGATCAGATATTTGTAAATTATGGCTACTAAATCTTGATGACAATTTCTATACATCTTGAGTCTGAAAGCTGCTCAGGGCCAGCTCAAGAAAAGCATTGCTTCTGTACTGTACCTGCAAGAAATACATTTGTAAAATACAATTTAAAAAAATAAAGATTACCTCCTGGTAAATGAAAGGTTTTGTTTCTGCAGAAAACCATTTGGTATTTAGATCTTTCAGCTTGTCTAAAATCGCCTTCACATCCCCAGGCCACATATGCTTGGCAGCATCAATTCGGAAGCCTGCTACGCCAATATCAATGAGATGGTTCATGTACTCAGCAACTTTTGAGCGTACATAGTCCTTCTCCAGGGCCAGATCAAGAAGGCTAACCAAGCGGCAGTCTCGAACCTATATAAAAATTCTGAAATTAAATATTTTTCACCTAATAAGCTAAATGTAGTGTTCTACATGTATTTTGAATTTTGTTACCTACATTACAGTGCCAAAATAAAACTTTAATTAGCCATTGTTCACCATGCATATCTTTGCCTTGGACTGTTATCTTAAAAAGTAATCTACACAGAAAGAGCATAAAGAAGTCTGCATTCATCTAGCTTACACAGCTGCAGGTCCTGAAGGATTATAGCAGAGTCAAACCATTAAATCTATAGTCAGCTTTTTAATGTAAATATAGAGCAAAAATATGATAAATTATTTTTACTCCAGTGTATTAAGGAACAGATTCATTTGTATTTCAAGTGCACTCATTTCTTCTCTGATTCAGGAAAGATTTCTAGAAATTATATTTCTAAATCTTCTAGAAATCCTTAGTTATTATAGCCTTACTAAACGTTAAACTCTCTGTCCCTTTTTCACCTTTGTTTTCTGTAAATACAAAATGATGGGCATCAATATTCATCAAAAGAATACACAAAAAGAAGCATTTAATTTCATGGCTATGCACATCTGCCTGGAGAGAGCAATGAGCATAAGCCTGTGTTGCAAGCTGTAATAAAGAATTTTCTACAAGGATGCTCCTTTAGAACTGCTCCAGAATACAGGGACATTTAAAGCCTCCCCTTCTGACATTTCTCCAGAACCCCTGTCCCCTCAACTCAGATTCAGGAAAGATCACAGGCATAAGACATTATTCAAGAAAGATAGGTATTCATCTTCATAAAATTATTTTTTCATTCTGTGGTAGTTTAAAAGTCCTGACCTCGTAATCTGACACAGAGGAACAGATAGACTCCTCTTATCTGCACAGAAGGCAGGCTTTGTTACGAAATCTCTAAGAGAAGATTGATTTTAAAGATTTTAACATTACGAATTTTATTCATGAAATCCTAATATCTCTCTTCGGAAACTGAGACTGAAGAAAACTTACAAATTACAATCAGAAGCAAATAATAACTCTCACATTTTTTTAAACACAAAAAATCACACACGAGAATCCCTAAATAGATTTTTTATGAGCTTTAATACTGTCTTTATAATGTAACCAAGCACATTGCCTAAATCTGAAATTGAGTCACTGGCTCAAGTAGAGCTATTCCTTTAAGAAGTGGTGTTCCTGATAGTAAATCTAACCTCCATAATCAGTTAGAATGGTTTCCCAAGAGGGTTTTTGTTTTGTTTTTTTAAAAATGTCTGACAGTAAAGGGGAGCAAAGAAACAACAGCCCAGGAATGGATGTATATGAAAAATATATTTATAGTTCTAGGTTTACCTGAAATATATCTTGATAATTCTCAATGTCTCCACTTCTAGATTTACATTTACCATCATTAAAGTCCCAGCCAGAATATGGCACAGCTGGAAAATCTTTAGTCTTTGCATTGAAATAGTTTCCACAAGTAGCATGGTTGCCAGCACCAGCACTAGCTCCGCACATATGGTTGATTACTGCGTCCACATAAATACGTACCTAGAGAACAGTATTCACATTTCAATTTGAGAAAGCTGCTTCCCACAGCACCACTAACATTCTCTCTCTCTTACCTCCTGGCCTATCCCCCTATTTCTGCTTGCTTGCTTCCCCCAACATTTTATTTAAAAATATTTCTCTTTTATTAACACATAGCAATGGTGATACAACATGCACCTCAACAGACAGGCAGAAAAAAAACATCTTTACTCCAGCGCTACCATGTCTTCCCTTCTAGATTACTGGTTGTCTATATCCTTGCGTTGTTAATACCAAAAGGTTTTCAAAGCACTTACTCCAACATTGTTGCACCTGGTCACCATGTCTCTGAATTCAGTTTCGTTTCCAGATCGCGTGCAGAGCTTGTAGCTGACTGGCTGGTATCTTTCCCACCATGGCTGCCAGGGGTCAGTAACGATAACATTTTCATTTGGAGGTGAAATCTGCGGATAAGACGGTGTCTCTTGATAACAGGATACTGATAACGGTTTGTTTGCTTGCTCAGTATTGTTAGAGAAGGAACATAAAAATAGAAAATCAGGTCCCTTTAATGGAAGATGCTTGCAATACCTAACCCACACAGATCCCCAGTATCCTCTGCTTACACTGTGGTGGGCTGGAAAGAAAAGATTCAGGCCTGGACCTTCAGCAGGTAGAAACATACTAGAAAAATGAAATCCACGGACATAGTGTCCTCATTATCTTTGGGAATGCAGGCCTCAAAGATCAAAAGAAGGGTCTGAAATCTGAAGGACTAGGTCAGTAGAGACAGCCCAGAATCAGAAAGGAACTGACTGAAGAACAACTGAGGTAACATCCTGCCCTTAAAGTTGATCTGACTTCACATTTTTGTAATGTTTTGGATAAAAGTGTTCTTGACACGAGACTTGCCACAGTTTCCAGATAAGGTATACCTCCTCCTTTTAGGATACTTTTCAGTCAACAAGCTTTTGCTGTTTTCTTCAAGTCTCTGGGCATAACCATCCGGCACCATCACTGCTTGCAGAGATCCTCGCTGCAGCTTACGTAGCTGCCGCACCTTGCTGACCAGCTCAGCAAGCCTGCGCCTGGAAATACTTTCCTTCTGAGACCCTGTCACAGCATGGATTAGAAAGATATCTAAGCATATACCAGCCTGAGAATCAGTTTAAAATCAATCATCAGGCCTGTGTGCCTGGAAAGAAGGTTGCAAAGAAAAGATGTATGACTTTAAAATTATGGGAAAGTTCTCACTCAGGCCAACTTCTAGACTCCTGGGCTACAAGAGAGGCAGATTTCTCCCACCATTTTTTCCTGAGCAATTTGACAAACAAACTGAAGTAGTTTAAAAGGTGACTGCTCTCCAGCCATGCCACCCCACCCATCTGACACTACTGGCTCCACAGGGACACAGCAGACGAACAGGTTCACATGGACACACCTCCACCAGAGCCTGTGTTCAGCTCATTTCTGCCTGCTCACCCCAGGCTCCTGTAAAGAAGGGGCTCTTAATGGCTTAATCTGACACCAGGCTTTACTTGCCACTTTGGGTGAACACAATCAGGAGCCTTTTGTATTTACTTATTTAAAACCTTCTGCACTTTGGTATTCCCTTTGGGAGCCCTTTTTTTCAGTCACAGTTTCATTTTATGTTTATCTAGCTCTTAAGAGCCTCCCTTGATTTAAATAATATCAAGCAGATAAACGTAGGTTACTCTTCACAGCAGTAAAAAAAAATATTTAGCCAGTGATATGCAATTCTAATTCATATAAATGTAGCAGCACTAAGCACAAAACATGCACTTTGGAGCAATGAAGTACATTCACACTTACACGATGATGGCTGAAGAATATATTTGTTAGCAATTACTACTTCCATTACCAATTTCTGTTTTTCTTTCTCAGTACCCGTCCTTTGGTGAATTGAACATTTTATCTCAAAAACAAATTATCATCTACGTAGCAATTTTACTACCTACTGCCAGAAACAGACCCACCTGAACTCCTCCAAATCCATAAGGAGATAAGTAGCGTTCACACTCAAGAGCAATATCTGCCCAGCGCCATTCGAAGAGATGCACAATAGACGTCCTCCCAGGCTCAGTATTGGGGTTGTACTGCCCCCAGCAAAACCCTACAATTAACAGAAGAAAATAGATACCCATCCTGTGCTCTGTGATCAGTTGCGCTCTTCTCACTGCCCATTTATGTTCCTGCAAGAGGGTAAAGTACACATTAGAAAACACACATTTAAAGGTAAATGCCCACCTCTGGCATCGTAGTTATTTAACTTTGATTATCGTTTTGTTTGAGAATTGGATTCTATCTAAGCTATATCAACCTCCCAAACTAATGGTAGCTTTGTTTTTCTGAAGTTAAAATTCAGGTGTTGTCTAATACAGGCCATCTCCAGCATGCCAAAGTTCTATTTTTATCAGTATAAAGCCAAAAACAACCCCAAAAGGTAAAGGAGTACTTATGTAGGCTGCACAGGACAAATTCTCATTTTAATGTATAATATTTTATATCCCTATTTATTCTTGAGAGGCATCTTTTTTTCAGTCTGCGTTACTATGACTTGCGCATATTTAGACAAGGCCTTGGAGACGCGGCATGTTTCTTATCACGAGTTGCCACAAAGCTCCAGGTATTGTGGAGGTATAACATATGCAAGCCTACTGTTCGTGACACGCGTGACATCAGTCATTCAAACAACAGCCCTAATCTTAGAAGATCTCTCAGATACGGAAGTGGCTACACTGACTCAAAACCAGATAGGTGAAACGTTTAATCTCTGTAGACCTGTACAATTTGTGTAGAGATATTCCTCTCCCAGAGAACACGGCGCAATGGCAGGCACAGGTCAGAAGTGCTGCGCAGCTCCATCACCAAGAAGTCTCCTTCCCAGTGCCCAGGTACGGAGCTCTGCAAATGCACTGAAGGAGCCTTCCAGAGGGGGGGAACCAGCTGCGTTACCTTCTGATGAGCTAGGCTAGAAACTGTACTTCCCAATTCATACTGTATCGGTATTTACTTATAAACAAACACAGATGACAGGCCTATTAAAATTGCCTCTCCTTTTTCACATCTAAGGAGAGATACAACTTGTAACAAACCAGAAGTTAAACAGCTACCAAGGTTTATGTTAACACTGTTTAGCATCTTGTTTTGCACTCTTCATGTTCAGAAGTCGATTTAGAGAGCCTGAGATACAAAGAAGTCCTACAAGGAGATCTTTTACAAACAAAAGGCTGAACTACTACTTCCCCTAAATTACAAAACACAGAATCTTGTTACTTTCCTCTAAGTATTTTTTCTTTGTAAAAAGCTCTCTTAACACAACACAGGGCAAAAAGGGAAAAAGGAGATTCCTGGGTGCTGTCACAGGGGATGCCAAACACTTCAGTGGAAGTTTAAACATGAACACAAGGGCCTCCAGGCTTGCTACATGAAAGAAATCTGCACCCTTTCCTGATTTAATAGACACCTGGGAATGCACTGCTGAAAACTCCAACCTGCTATGATACAGATACCCAAACAAAGGTTTATATAAAATCTTACATGATTTCTACAAAGCAACTGTCATTTTTATTACAAGGAAAGGACATTTCACATCAGTCAGTGGAGCTGCACTCCTTGGAAAAAATTCAAGCATACAGTATGCCAATTTATAAAGCGTAGAACCTGCCTTCTAGAGCCTGTTGCTGTCAGCTGTCACTGTACTTCACAAGCAGCTAGTTACTGAGAATGAATCATTTGATAAATTTAGCTTGTTTTTCTGCTTGTGAACAAAATAATTCTAATGAAATTATTTACTTGCAGATCTTCAGTAGAGTATACAGATACATTTCAGCTATAAGCAGTTGTTCTGTGTACTTCCATTTGCCCTGATAGGAAAAACATACATTAGCAGAAACTGAGCGAAGTTTGATCTTCTCTGATGAGAGAAGCCATTTATCAGATCAGCAAGCTTTACTTACAGTAGTACGTATACCAAGCAGTAAGTTACAGAAAGCAGTAAGAATTATTTATTTTCACCCAACCAGCTCCAACGCCTGGTGCTTGACAAGAAGACTGAAGGCAGTTTTGCGTTTCTTTGAAACAGGCCTATGACTGGTCTGGCTTCAGTACAAGCAATGATAAGAGAACGGAGATGTTGAAATGCCCAACGTGCTCTGAAGGCTTTGGCTTCAACATTCTTTTGAAACTTGGAAAAAAGGGAATAGGCCTGTATTCCTCTATGGAAGAAAAAGAGAGCAATTCAAAGGACAAGGGAGTGAATTGTTTCTGAAGAGTGCTGTTATTGTCTTGGACAACCTGAGAACTCCGGTCACCTTGGTGTGGCTAAAGCCTACGGTATGAGACTCAGCTGCTCTCTCCGAAATACTCGCAACAATATTTAAATTTACGAGAGGTTTGACACCAGCCTGCTGAAGCTTCAGATACTAAAGGCCGTTACAGGACAGTAGCTTCCATGAGAACTGCACGTCACTCCCCACAGAACCCCCTCAGCAGCTGCACGTCTCGTGCAACAACGCAGCTGCGGCACCTCCCGCAGC